CAAAAAAAAAAAAAAAAAAAGTCAGGATTTCTGATTTGAGTTGCAAGCCTCCCTGGCGAGATGTTTCTGCAGGCAAATGCAGCTGCGTCCCAGGAAACAATTATTCCCAAGCCCTTACATGCACTGCATCCCAGGGCTCCCAGCAAAGCACAAGTAAATTAATGGCTCGCTTTGCTGTTTCTTGGCTGCTGTGTACGTAGCATCAGGGCCAAGATCATATTTTTTACAGTGTGCTGCCATCCAGCAGCACCAGCCTTGGGATGCTTAGTTTTATTTCTCCAGGTGTAGTTAAACTCTCTGCAAGTGGTGGCAGCTGAGCTGTCGCAGCCATAATGAGAGGTGAACTGGGTGTTGACACTCTTCTCAAGAATACCTTACCCTTTGCTTGCTGTTGTGGAGTGGGTTGTGCTCACAAACCTGATGGAGAGGGAGGGGGGAGCGGATGCCTCGAGAGCTGAAAGTTAACTATCTGATTAATATTTAAAATAAATAAACGGCAGGGGTTTGTTGGCTGTGTGAAGCTAGGCATCCATTTATGGACTCAACTTCTGAGTTTAAACATATTGCACTATGACCAGCAATTCTCCACAATACAGTAGGATTTATTAATAGAAAATATGTCAATATGAGTTGTCTTTGTACATGTTAGCAACATGTACAGTGAAACACATTTTTTTTTTTTCTCAATCTACACTGTAATAATTCTTTTGTGTTAACTGACATAACCATTTATATTTTGGGCTTAAATATGTTATTTGTCAAAATGTACTTTCAGTGTTAATACACCTTTAAAATCATAGTTTATCTTTTAAATATTGAATTCATACTATTTTTTCAAATCAATATTGCTCATGTTAGTGCAAATTTGTTAATCTTGAGATAGGTTAACCATTCCTTCCAGACCATAAACAGCATTTAATAAAACAGTGAGATTTATATAGCTCTACACAGCTGAACAAGATTCTAATATGAAGCTTGTTAAAAAAAAAAAATTCTGACATTTTACAGTACATCAATTGCATTTTATACATTTTTTTTGGAACAGTTTTTTTTCTTCTCTATTTCTGTGTGTGATCTAGTACAAGAATGAAGGGAACAGCAATAGGTAATTAAACTTTCCTCAATATTAAAAAGAATGAATCATATATATCTTGCTCAGTATGGTAGCAGTGTTGTATTTCGGAGCCTGGAAAATAAGCCAGGTAATTCAATACCTTCTCAAAACTCAGTACAGCAAGAATGAACGTGATCAGTCGGAGCACTTGCCACTAAAGAAGAATGGAAACAAAACAACACAAACTATAGACAAAAGGTATTTTATGCCTTTTCATCGATCCAGAATCTCTCACTTGAGCAATGGTCAACATCTGACTCCAAGTAATTCCTAAGAGGAGATTGAAGGGGGCAATGTGGGCATTTCAGTAGCGTGAAGAATGGAAATAAATCCAAGTTACAATAACCTCCTGTCCTAAGAACTTCAAACAGAATGACAGATCACTTCAGCCTGTTGGCAACTTTTGCCTGGAGAACTGTGCCAGCCTGGTGGTTATCAGGCAGTCAAGAAGAACTTCAAGTCAAGAGTGACATTCTTTATTAAAAAAAAGCTTTTATACTGAAAATGTGCTTTGTTCAAAATAGCACTGCAAATGTCACTTATCTTATTAAAATCAATGTATTAAATAAAATATAAACAACCTGTGTCCAAAACTATGAATAGTATTTTTATCTACCTCACTATACATCTGGCCCACTGCACCCCTCCCACCCACCCTCTTTTGTGTTAACTGACATAACCATTTATATTTTGGGCTTAAATATGTTATTTGTCAAAATGTACTTTCAGTGTTAATACACCTTTAAAATCATAGTTTATCTTTTAAATATTGAATTCATACTATTTTTTCAAATCAATATTGCTCATGTTAGTGCAAATTTGTTAATCTTGAGATAGGTTAACCATTCCTTCCAGACCATAAACAGCATTTAATAAAACAGTGAGATTTATATAGCTCTACACAGCTGAACAAGATTCTAATATGAAGCTTGTTAAAAAAAAAAAATTCTGACATTTTACAGTACATCAATTGCATTTTATACATTTTTTTTGGAACAGTTTTTTTTCTTCTCTATTTCTGTGTGTGATCTAGTACAAGAATGAAGGGAACAGCAATAGGTAATTAAACTTTCCTCAATATTAAAAAGAATGAATCATATATATCTTGCTCAGTATGGTAGCAGTGTTGTATTTCGGAGCCTGGAAAATAAGCCAGGTAATTCAATACCTTCTCAAAACTCAGTACAGCAAGAATGAACGTGATCAGTCGGAGCACTTGCCACTAAAGAAGAATGGAAACAAAACAACACAAACTATAGACAAAAGGTATTTTATGCCTTTTCATCGATCCAGAATCTCTCACTTGAGCAATGGTCAACATCTGACTCCAAGTAATTCCTAAGAGGAGATTGAAGGGGGCAATGTGGGCATTTCAGTAGCGTGAAGAATGGAAATAAATCCAAGTTACAATAACCTCCTGTCCTAAGAACTTCAAACAGAATGACAGATCACTTCAGCCTGTTGGCAACTTTTGCCTGGAGAACTGTGCCAGCCTGGTGGTTATCAGGCAGTCAAGAAGAACTTCAAGTCAAGAGTGACATTCTTTATTAAAAAAAAGCTTTTATACTGAAAATGTGCTTTGTTCAAAATAGCACTGCAAATGTCACTTATCTTATTAAAATCAATGTATTAAATAAAATATAAACAACCTGTGTCCAAAACTATGAATAGTATTTTTATCTACCTCACTATACATCTGGCCCACTGCACCCCTCCCACCCACCCTTTCTTTAATTTGTTAAAAATTTTTTTTTGCATGCAATTTTTTCCCTCGTTTACTACAAAGAGCAGATAAGGTTACATATCGTACACTGGGAAAAGCTGCCAAAAAAAGGTTAAACTATAGTCCTAGGTTACCAATAAACCAATTCTACGTCACAATACTCGCCTGCATGAACTACTGGGGCTGCATCCTATGGAGCAGGCGAGACTTCTCCCCTTGTGCACAGCCAGAAGTGTGCCAGGTGATGGTACGACTACTACAATGACTAATCACAGAAATGTTTGCAACCTAAAACAGATTCCTTAATTGTAATTTGAGCAATTTACAGCTACTCCATTTGTGGTGGGTCTTATGCTGTGAGAACTGTGAACTTGTTGCCTCAACCAAATAAATGAAGAAATGTTAGAATCCTTCTTTTTGTTCCAGAATTACAAGAGCTAAGATGAATATGCCAGCTCTTCTGGCCTCCTAGCCTAGCTTCCTTTGCTATTTCATAATGAAAAGAAAAAAAAAAATAAAAAAATCTCTGTCCCTTATGCTTTTTATCTTTGAGGGTTTCACTTTAAATGCACAGAAATGGTCAGTATGTTTCATATTTGAGGAATGTGTTTTGCGCATCAGGTTTTCTTTTTGGTATGGGTTAAAATAAATGATTGTCCTAATGGTTCAGGAGCTGGACCCTTCTATAGCCTGGACAATCTGGAGACTCCAGACTTAAGTCTGTTGGGTCTTTGTTTTCCATTCCCTCAGGAAGATGGCAAGATCAAACTGCCTTCTTTGAGCACTTGCACATTGGTGGCTGGAGAGTAATGAAATCTCCTCAAGAGAAGATCAAGAGATGCTATTTTAAAGGAAATGGCACCTACGGGTGAAGGAGTCAGTGAAAAATCAGATAACCCCTTCCTTTTTGAGTATGTGGCCTAACAATTTTGAGTTGCTATCAATGGTTAATAAAGTGAGTAAGAGAAAGCACATACTGGAGTTTCCACTGTTTATAAAAACTAAAAATCAAACAAAAATTGAAGCTTGAACAAGGAAAACACTGGATGAAAAGTCTTACGCCACACAAACGCACACACTCAAACACATACACACATACAGGCACACAGAATACTATGCACACATGGACACATACAAGTAAGAATGTATATTTGTATGGTAGGTTCTTGGAAATAGACATTCTTAGCAAATATGGATGACAGATCAATTGTAATTTATTTTCTTTTAACACTGTATCATCATAAAGAAAACTGGTATAAATGAAAAAATCTATTTCAAATATCTACATCTAAAATTTTAGGCAGTGAAAAAGCACTTTGTTGACAAGGAGTGTGGAATGATGAATGTTAATTGTCAGAAACTGCTGAATGCCTTTTTTTTTTTTAGTTGCCACAAACAAATTCACATATCAGAACGAACAATACTGCTAAATATTCCTTTTTGTTTTCTTGACTTTTTTTTTGATTTTTTCTTTTTTGTTAAAACGCACCGGGGAAAAGAAAACCAAAAACTGGAAATTCATACATCTTTCAAAATTTGAAATTGAAGCAATATTTAGAACCATAGATGAAGAAACACTGTGGCATTGGTGTAATATACACAATGCACTTGTTGTTTGTTTTTTTTTTACCTGTAATGTACATCAAATACTTTACAACAATGCATTAACAAAAGGCAAGAAACATCTTGCTGTACAGAGGAAACCCCAAATGCAACTTGAAGCCTAGATTCACAATGAATGAGGATATTAAACAAAGTGTGAGAAGCTGTTCCCCATTAAGTACGTATGCTGCTCAGTTACTTGTGCTTAACTCTTGACCCACATCCACTGTCATGTTCTCCCTCTTTCCTTCAGCCACATCCAATATACAGGACGGAACTTTAGACCCTACAGGCCAACAATAAAGTTGCCCCACACTGTAAAATATATATATGTATATATCTTTCTTTCTAATTACTCCCAGGTTTAGCTTTCGTATCTTTTAGCCTTCTAAAAAAAATCTCTTAATTTTTTCCATACTGGTTATCTGGGCCTTCCTATGGAACAGGCTTTAACAAACTAAATCTGCAGGAAAAAAAAAAGTCTTGTGGTATGCATGCACATGCACAGTTCCTGGAGCTTTTGTATCTGCCCAAGTCTCAAACCCAGGAGTCGGGAGAGGCTGGATAGTGGCTTGTTTCATAGTTAAGTTCACTATAGGGACGAGCAGCTGAATAGAAGTCGACGTAGTTGCCAGTTGACTTTAGTCCCAGGTGCATGTTGTATTCGCTTGCAGGTGGACGATGATGCACTTGGTCCTCAAAGAAGGACTCATCATAGTTTCTTGTTGAATTCTGAAACGGCTGATATGGTTCGTAATCTTTTCTGCTGGGCTCCTGTGGAACTGGCTGTGTTGAAACCTGGAATGTAGAGACACCCACAGATTGTTAGATAGAACTTACTGTGGGCAACAAGAGTGAAGAAGCAGGAAGTTTCACTATGTTTATCATGCTGGAAATGTGAAGTTTATCTTTGTAATGTTAACATCTGCTCAAGGTATTGCTCGGTAGTGAATTAATTGAACAGCTTTTCCTTGTCATTACATTTATTTACATTTCTTTATTTAATATTATTAAATACATTTATTATTTAATGTTACTGCTTAAAAAGTAATTAAAATTAGGATCTGAGCAGTGTAGCTCACAGTTACTTTTGTAACTATAATCTGTGTATAAGTTTCTGACTATTTTGTAGCTATATTATGCAAACATTGGTGGCCAAAATTCAGCCTTGAATAATTTTAATGGAAAAAACATACACTGCAAAATTTGTGACTGCAAAATGACACAGCCTTCAATCCACCAATGGTCATATTGGTAATACTGGTACTCTGATGTCAGTGTCAGAAGACTCTTTGCAGACCTTGCTAAGTCTGCAAGAGTTTTCAAGAAGAGAGGAACAGTTGCACTGCTATGTCCCAAACTCCATGATATTCCATGGCCACGTGGGCCACAAAGATGATCAGAGGGCTGAAGCACTTCTCCTATTCAGACAGGCTAGAGAGCTGGGGTTGTTCAGCCTGGAGAAGTGAAGGTTCTGTGGAGACCTCACAGCAGCCTTCCAGTACTTGAAGGGGGCCTATGGGAAAGCTGGGAAGAGGCTTTTTATGAGGACATGTAGTAAGAGGACAAGGGGTAATGGAGTAAAACTTGCAGAGGTGAAATTTAGATTAGACATTAGGAGGAAATTCTTCACAATGAGGGTGGTGAGACACTGGAACAGGTTGCGCAGGGAAGCCGTTGGAAGCTCCATCCCTCGAAGTGTTCAAGGCCAGGTTGGATGGGGCTCTGAGCAACCTGGTGTAGTGGGAGGTGTCCCTGCCAATAGAGGCAGGTTGGATCTAGATGATCTAAGGTCCCTTCCAACTCAATTCTGTGTTTCCATTATATTATTTCAAAGCATGTCTCTATTGAACTCTGTGTGTAGAGTGCAAAAGGCTCTCCGTGTTCTTTAACAGACCTTCAAGTGATCTTACAACACTGGACGCAATATTAGAACACGACAAAGGACCATAACTACTCTAGTTCCTATTTCTAGTATTGATATCAAGGTGTATAGGACCTTGAGTCCCTTGTTTTGTTTCACGTATTCAAAAGCAGATGTTTAATTTTGGACACAGGAGAAAAAAATCTATACTAAACAATGTATTTATATGCCAAACAGTTAGAGGTGGGCAGTTTTTGAGTAGAAAATAGGAGGCTGAAGTAGCATTTCTGGGTTCATTTTAGCTAAAAAAAGGTATTTCTGATAGGTCCATCAGAAACTTAACATTTCATTGAGAAGCAAGTAGGAAAAAAACCCGGTTTTAGTTTTCACTCAAACTATCACCCCCAAAATCAAATTAGTTGATTCATGACTGCATTTAGAGTGCACCTGCTGTTACAATACCTCATACCCCGTTTTTTATAAGTACTATGTTAATTAGAAGGGCTTCACCTCTTTACATAAAACCATTCTGCAATAAAAGCAGAAACACCTTCATGCACTGAACTGGCTCACACAAGGCATATGGTGCACCACAGGAAACACTGGGTAATTAAAAAGCAAAACTAATAAGCAGAATGGGGGCACAGAATATCAAAAACTCTCTTCACCTAAAGTTTTTGGATCAGGCTTTCATATTGAAATTTCAGGTAATCCAGTAAAAACTTTCAGAGAAAAATATTTTTATCACATTTACTAAATATTAATTTAACTCTGATACGACTAATCATTTTAAGTTCTTTCCTTAAGTAGTTTTGGGTGTCATTTTTGTCTAGTTAAAAAATGCTGTAACTTCTGCATATTACGTGGAGAAATTGTGAAAATATTGAAGAGTTTTGGTAATTAAATACAACATAATTAAATACACACAATGATGAAACAAAAGCCTTTGAGTGCAGAAAATTGTGTTTTGCAGGGTTTGAGGCAACACTGTACTGGAAATACCAGCTATATGAATGCCATACATGTCAATATTGCAACCTTTTCTGTGAGTACATTAGCTTGGCACCCATGCTGCCAATTAAATTTTTGTAATGCCCACCTTATCCAGACATACTTATTGCTCTCTGTTTTTCAGGGACAAGACATTTTGACAGAGTCCCAAAGTTCCAAACCAAATGGCTTGGATGTATATACATGAGAAAGTGTCCTTGCTGATGAAATGCAACTTTCTCTCTTGCCCATACGCTGATGAGTACATTAAAAAGCAAGCAAGCAAAAAGCCTTGCTACAATCATGCTTCTGAAGTGACTAAATGGCAAATCTGAGGGCTTCTACTACACTCAAGTGTAGTGTACACATCCCTGCACAAGATACAGGGGGATCTTTCTCCAGGACTGTTCAATACTTGAGGGTCTGCTAGGATTCCTTAGCATGAGTCATGTGGCAACAGCATTAGTTGAATTTTATGATGGCTATACTTCAGTAATAAGATTTGACCAGACTTAACCAAATTCATTGGCACAGGACATCATGAGACACCAGAGCCAGTCCAAGTGCCGGTTAACGTTAGTTTGGATTTTGTAGTCTAAGTCACACTTACCCAGAACTTTAAAATCATTCAGGTTTCAAGCTGCTCTTGATTTCAGTATGAGTTACAGACTTGAACACCTTAGACAATTTTTGTGCATATGCCATTTAGAACAGTAACATTTTAGTCTTCTTACTTACCTGGTTATGTTTGATATCTTCAGCAGGGGCACCGTACGAATTCCTGTACAAAGTTGAGATTCCAGTGTTCTGAGCTGGAGAGAGAAGAAAGGAAGAAAAACGTGCGTTAACCAAACATACCTCTTTGGCCTCAAAATCAATTCTGAAGGCTTCATTATATACATTATACAGCACCTGTTTTCCACATATGAAAATCTTTAAAAGCATCTGCAGACTTCTACTTTTTCTTCCTCCCACTGAACAGTCATAATTTTTGCTTTGGTGCACGTTGTACACTTATTAATGGAACAGGTGCTATTTCATGTTCATACTAATCTTGTGCATGTCACATATAAACCAACAAAATAGCTTCATATACATCTAGCAACAGTTCAGGTTATAAATGGGATTTTGTATCACATTTACACTAAACAGGTAATGGTTGCGAATATTGAGACTAAGAAACATTTAATTCCTTTCATTTCAGTTGGATGATGCTAACCCAAATCCTGTATTATTAATCCTGCAGTGCTTTTGTTATAGGGTTAAATTGTGCATGGCTAAAGTGATTAAATGTCACTGAAAACTGAGTTATGCAAAAAAGTAGTATATAGTTGAACTGAAGAGGTCTGGCCAAATTGTCTCAAATTCACAAAGACAGTTTTGCAAAAAACTGATTTCTCACCCTGCTCTCCCTCTCCCCCAAACACATAAAAAACTAAGGATTTTCACCGCAAATCTGGCTTCGCTGATCACCATGGTTTGGCTATCCAACTGAAGCTTAGTTTGCTGACAGAGCCAACATAGCTGTAGTTATTTCTTGTAATTGACAGAGTATGAGGGTATTATTTTGTGTGGCTGCTGTGTACTGGTCCCACTGGGCATGTGTTACTAACTTTTGAGACATTGTAACCAATGGTTTGATGCTGCCATGAGGACTCTCACTGCAAAAGCACATGCCTGAAAGTAAAAGCTGAATAGTTGTGAATCAGAGCATTAGTGGGACTGAAACATGTTGCTCGCACAGCTTCTCTCAGGCCTCTGTGCAATGGTATAAAACCTGGAAGCTTTTAATACCTTCACAACTCAAAACCTTTGAGGGCGAGGACTGAGCTGAAAGTTGGGTGTAGGATCCATGCTAGTCACATCACCAAGAAGAACAACAGTTACTGAAGAAGTGACCACTCTTTCTTCCTTTGACAACCTGCTAGCATGGACCCCAGCATGTACAACTGCCTCTGTCTTTCTCACAGCCAGCAGAACCTCTCTGGAGAAAGGAATGACATGGTGTCCAGCCAAAGTTTGCTGTAATACGCTAATTCTGGTCTTCACATCTGCTATGGGGTCCATGCTGAGGGTATAATTTTTCTCAGAGCTTGGTGTACTGCTCCCTGTTGCTGCTTTACAGATCTCAGATGGTGTGCTTAAGAGACGTCCAGCTTTTTCTTGAAACAGGATGAAGACAGGGTTTATACAGTGAGGTAGTGAGCCCTTACAGCTGGAAAAAGATGTTCCACTTGATAACCGTTAACTAACAGGGATGAAAAAACTCATTTCTTGAAGAGCTGGATGCAGTTACTGAGTGCAAACTTCTGTGCAGGAACTCTGGAGGTCTAGAAGGAGGGCAGCAGGATCCTTTCTTCAAATGTAGGAAGAGTAAGTACTCTAGTAACGGATGATGGTCAGTCTTTTCCAGTGGCAGTCTCTATTCTGCTTGTGTGGCAACAGGTGGCAACAGATGAAAATGGTAACTGCTTGAGTGGTTTGTCTTTGGCCATATATGTCAGCACAGAAGGGTCGACCTGCAGAAGCCATTCCTTCTCAGGCTGCATTTTGTCACCAAAATTGAGTGAATGTGAGACTTGACTGTTATTAACTGCCAGATCATTTCTTGATGCCATCTTTTTTATGCTCTTTTTCTGAGTTTTTTTTTTTTGTTTGTCCTACGAAGTCTTGGAAAAAGTTGGGTTATACAAATTCCTCTTCTCAAGATCTAAAGAGATTCAGTGCTTCAGCTACCCATTTTGTGAAGTGCTACTTGAAAATAATGGATGATATTCAATGTATTGGACTCTGATAAACAGGGGAAGAACTTACTATAACCATTTTGTTTTCACGTATATAAATTGCATGATAAGCAGGTTTGAAGTTTCATGCATGCAAGTTTTTAGTCAGGCATGACTAAACATATTCAGTCCAGACAGGACCATATTGTTCATGGTTGGCTGATGTCAAGAATTGTAGTATAAGAATTGTACTGTGTAAGGTGCAACACTGGCAAGAATTGTACTGGTGTAAGATGCAATATCTGAGGGTTTTTTAAAGAACCTGATGAAAAACAGGCAACTGGACACATGCTAATTTATATGTTGTCCCGACAGGTAATCTGAGAGACGTTAAGGAAGATCATGGCCTTTCCATATTTTTACACGTATATAAAAAAGCACATGGTATAAGTCTGCCACTAACAGCCACAACTATTATAAATCCAGAAACAGTGGTCCATAGGTGTCCTGCACTACTGTGACATTTGCTCTGATGTGCTCAGAATTTGCGATGGAAAAATGGATGGTTTCAGCTTATGAAGATAGCTGCAAGGTCTGCATTGCTGATTCCCCTGCAGTGATGTGGATACAAATTAACAGGTTTAAAATGCAGTAAAAATGTAGTATTATTTTCTTAATGTAATGAAAAGAAATACAATGACACACCAAATGCTTGGAAATGACAGCCAAAAGTTCAAGAACAAGAAACCTTGGTTTAGTCTAGCTGGGAGGCTGAGATAATTCTGTCTCTGGAGAAAATGTAAGTCAAGCAATGTAGCTGCTAGCAGTGCCTGCAGCCCCACTCCAGTACCTGCTTCTGAACACACAGGCGGCATCCCTGGGAACTCCACTCCCACTCTGCTGTGATTCAGCGAGCAGTTGACTCTTGCTGTCCAAAAGCAGAGGGAAAATATAAAAGAAAGAAGGGGACAGAAAGAGCTAGATGAATGGGCAGATATTGTGTGGTTAGTATCTGATTTTTGCTGTTATTATTGTGTATGTAGCTTCATGGTAAAATTATCAGAGAAAGACAGTTTAATGAAATAATTTTCTGTTTTAAAACATGGTGAGAGAAGAGAAAGGAGTACAAGGAGCAAGGGATGTATAGTTTCAGGCAGCCACACTTCCTTACAGAGATGTGAGAATAGTAGCTGCAGATGAAATTATTTGAGGAGTGATGAGTGTGTGTGCATTTTATGCAGTATATAAATATCAGTACATCCCAGTAGCAAAGAGGTATTTTTTATCAGGTAAAACTGTGAAGGTTCTAAAATAAGTACTATGATTTGCTCACAGTACTTTGTGTTTGCATTGCATAAAGAACATTAAGGAGAAATAACTTCCTCTTTTCCACCTGTCCAGTTTTCAAGGTAATGTCAGTTTTAAAAAAGCCTCATATAGTTCCCCACAGCAGTTTTCTGCAACAGCTTTCAAAATTATGTCACTCAACAGTTTATGTGATGAAGATATCACTGACCAAAGCCATCCCCATATATTCCAGTGACTTGATTCATGGTTTAACATTTAGCTTTCTGTTCTTTTAAATACTTATTCTGAACACATTTACAGACACTTTGAAATAACAAGGTGCTAGCCTTTTGCCCTCACAAACACAGACTCATAGTAGGAAAGGACAGCTCAGCCTGACAGGTAGTCATCCTCATCTGATATTGCATAACTGGCTTTTTCTGCTCTAAGCAGCAAGACTCCATTTTCTAAAATTTAGCTCAAGACAGTAAAGGAAAATGGTTCGGGGCCTTACAAATCGCAGCTAATAGAGATCATTACCTGTCAGTACTGCTGCCACCTTCTTGCATGGTGAAAGATGAGGTAAAGGGCACGAGAAAAGATTACAGTGTATTATGGTTTCTTAAAGTAGTAAATTCAAGTAGCCCAAGCATCTGTAGCTATTGTAGCAGATTATGGTGGCTGGTTGTGTTCTGAATGTGCAGGGACTTGTAAGTAAGTAACAAAAGCATAGGCGATTGATTCTCAGTAACTAAAAGAAAATAAATTAATCAGAAGGTGTTTTTGCTGGTGAAAGTGAACATACAGGGTGCAGACTGTGAGAGAGAGAACTAACAAAGTAAAAGAAACTTCAGAGCAGGAGTCCCATGATAGCACATAGTAAGCTTATCCTCCTTGCTCTGAAGGAACACACCATGGCATAAATAATGTAATCACATGCACATACAGTTCTGTTTTTTTAAAAAGGAATATAATAGGTTTAGTCTTAAAAATATACTTCAGATGATAAAATTTTATGATTGGTTATTATTTTCTACAGAGAAGATGGAGAGTAAATACACCATGCATCATAAACCCGTGAAAGGAGAGGGCAATGAGAACATTGATATTGTTCCTCTATTTTGTAGCTGTCCTTGTGAAATCAATGTAAGTTACCATCTTCAGCCAAACTATTTACTTCATAGATTCTCCATTTTCCCCAGAGGTTTCCTGACAACTCCCCACAATGGCAAGAAGCCAAGATTTCTACTTTGAAAATCCATCAAAACCCTTTCATTTCAGTCCTAGCCAAGAGGTCATAACATTTTTAACTATACAGTGAGAAGAACTTTGGAGAAGAGCATGGAGACAGTCATAGATAAATTGGGACTACTGCTGTAACTCTACATTCTGTGTAAATCTGTGAGTCAAAGAAACCTCAAAAATGTATATGCCACGTGGAACCTGAAAAAACATCTATCTAAATCCCACAGGCTCTGTGGATGTTTTAGCTGCATTGCATTGTCTGATGCACATGAACTACAGGCATTGCAATGAACTTGCTACACAAACTTAGATCATTCGAGTACAGTCAAAATGTCCCACAATTAAAATCACAAATACTGATTTTATATTGTTTTTATTGAAGTATTTATTTTATGAGAAACAAAGAGGTTACACAAATTTCACATTGAACATTGACAAGTGAGGCTCCTTTTAACTGTCATTTTCTTTTGCTCCTAAAATGGTGCTTAAATTGACCTCAAAGCAAATGAGCAGAAATTTAGTGACCTGAAAGAGAGAGAAAGCAATTTGTTAATTTCATATTAATTTCTACAATGGTCATGTAAGATTGTGAAATATTATTCAATTTTTCAAGTTGAATTTTCGAATTTTGATTTTTCTCACTCAATCAGTAGCTGGAAAAATAGTTGATATCTGAGCATGATGGTGAGAGTTTTGAGTTTCCTTACTAAAAGCCCACCCAGAAGATCAGTAAGAACTGACTAAACACAAGCAGATATTAAAGGAAAACACGATGCAAAAATCAAAGCAGAACAAAGGTTGCTGGAAAGTACAAACCTGAAAATTATACTGAAAGAGAAAGGAAACAAGGG